TTTGTCATGGCAAAAGCTGAAATCAGCCATTGACTTTTATTTCGTATATTGAAACGGTATCCTTAGAAAGCGTCATTTTACTACTGACACTTTTTGATAGTGGTTTTTAGGTTGGTGATGTGCTTCGCGCTCTTGGACAGAATCCCACGGAGGCTGAGATCAGTCGATGCTGCGGCAGTTACGAGAAGGAGGCTCGTCTCTCCTTTGAGGATTTTGTTCCTATCTTCCAATCGGTTAGCAAAAACCGGTGAGTTTTAATGTCAGTTTTATGTTTCCAGTAAAATCAAGCATTTCTTCCTGTTTTGCGTAGAATCCAGTGGTTATGGGGGTATGAAGTATGTTCGTAACATATGATAAAGAACTATTCTTCATTACATTACACGACTGGTACTTTTTGCTCAGTTTTGTTCAAGTGCATTAATAGCCGTTTGGTGTTTTTGATATCAACTCCTCCTCACTGAAAGCATGTTTTTTTTATTTTTGCGTGTGTTTCTCGCATTCATGCTTGTTTCAATTTTGTGTTTATAGTGAGAAGCACTCGGTCGAGGAGTTTGTCGAAGGACTCTCACATTTTGATAAGGAAGGGAACGGACTTATCAACGTAGCGGAACTGCGTCATCTTCTTACCACTCTAGGTTTTGATCAATTTTCTATCCTGATGAAAAACCATCTGTGTCATTATTGTTCAGGTGAACGATTGTCGGATGAAGAAGTCGACCAACTTTTGGCTGGGCATAACGATTCACATGGCAATGTGAATATCGCCGATTTTGTGCGCAACGTCATGAATTCCTGATTCGTCATATACTTACGAAAATTATGGTTGCTAATTTAACCTTCCGAGTTCAAGTTAATCCCGTTTCTATTTGGGCATCGTAGCTATCGTCATTACAATGATATCAACCAGTATTTTGTGCTTTCAGTCACTTAATGGCGTCGATCTATTTACTTTCCTGCTTTGTTTTTAACATCAATAAGGAGAGGCATCTTCACTTCAACCAGCTGCTGTATACAAACTTGTAATATCCGCAATAAATATTGATCTGTGTGTTGTAATGCTCACTGCTGCAAGTTGTCAGTCATCTTCTTACTGCTGGCCTTCATGAGCACCGTCATATACGTGGT